CTGGGGCCGGGGCAGGAACAGGTCCTGGGGTAGGAGTAGGGGCAGGAACAGGAACAGGGTCTGGGGCCGGGGCAGGAACAGGTCCTGGGGTAGGAGTAGGGGCAGGAACAGGGTCTGGGGCCGGGGCAGGAACAGGAGCCGGGGCAGGAACAGGAGCCGGGGCAGGAGTAGGGGCAGGAACAGGGGCTGGGGCCGGGGCAGGAACAGGTCCTGGGGTAGGAGTAGGGGCAGGAACAGGGGCTGGGGCAGGGGCGAAGGGGGGTGAAGGTGCCCACTTGCTGTGGTTTGGGTGAGGGAGGAGTGAGCAGGACCAGGAGCTGGGAATAATCTCCTGTTGTCACGGGAGCCGGTCCTGCCTCAACTGTAGGGCGTAGCGAAGACCCTCTGCATGACGGTATGATCCGGAAGTGTCTGGAGAAGCACATCAGGGGAGAGACGGCGAGGTTAGATTAGGTCGGGTCGTGGGGGCGGGGTGGCGATGGTGGTGGACAAACCCAATAAAGTCCAGAGAGACGGTAAAAGCACAGTCCAATGACCATTGCAGGGAGGTCCATCCGAGACGAACACGGAAGGGTAAAATCATAATGGAGCAGGGTGCTCTGAGCCCCAGACTCAAAGCCGGTGATAGGGTGTCCGTCTTCCAAACCTGAGCCCTGAGCCCTGAGCTAAGGAGATGCCAGGCTTAAATAATAAGGGGTGGAACAGAGGACGGGTAATGACAGATAATACAAGGTGGGAGCGCCCTTGAATGGAGGGGTGGCGATTGTGACAGTGCTGATCTTGCCTGCTGTCCCTCGCCCCGGGCCTCACAAACGAGGTGAGCACAAGGTGTGCCGTTTTCACGCGTGCCCCTCCCCGCAGGCCGAGCAGTGCCAGGAGCGCCTCGCCAGCTGCCAGTTCTGCCAGCTGCAGGTGCCGCTGAGCCGGCTGCCCGAGCACGTCGCCCCCTGTGGGAGCCGGACGGAGCGCTGCCCGGACTGCGGCAGCTACGTGCAGCTCCGCGAGCAGGAGGCCC